GGGGGCGGGGGGGCATAACATCTGTCTGCCAGCCCTTGCTAATTATAGATAATTTTCCTAGTGAACAGCATTATGAGGAAAAACACTTTTCAAGCACTTCGGTGCAGCAGATAAGTAGATGCACTAAATAAAGAATGTTCATTGGGTTAGGTAACTCACTTTACATTGAGGACCTTCAAAAGGAAGATTCAAAACAGATGCAACAACTTGGGCAGTGTGGCTCGTTCTTGCAAATGGAGAGTAGCAGATGCGAACACTTTCAAGTGGTATGTTTCTCTCTTTCAATTCCTGCACAGATTATACAGTTAGATGGATATGCAGCGGACTCTTAAATTTGCTGAAGGGGGAAATCAACAACTGTAGTTAAAGAAAGCCAATTACTAAGGGATAAGAAAGAGTTCCATCAAGCCATTAGTAATTGTGGCTTTCTCCTTATTTATACCGCCAACCTTGATATCATTGGCAAAAGGAATTCACAAAAGCATAAACAAAGTTATTTGATGCTCAGCATGATATGCCCTTGTATGCTACCAAGTGCCAACTCCCCACCCAGAGGCTCCACTCTCATTTGCCATATTGTTCAGTCTTTACTTTCTCCTTGTTTATAGAAAACCTTTTGTCAAACCATCCTCTATAACAACATCAAGCATTTTTAAATATTGGCTTTTCAAATTCTTTCCTTCAACTCTCTCACACATCAATTATCTCTACAACAACATCCTAGAAATCTTTCATTTTCAGTCTCTGTCATCCAAAATGCTTCCAACAAAGTGATACCACAGCCTATCCAAATTCAGACTACCATCATTTTCCAATGTACCCCATTCTTGCATAATTCTTAGAGTGATATTCCCAGCTGACATGCATACGTTTATATTCTCTTGCAAATAGTAATTGATTGTCCACCCTCAACACAACTCCTACAGGAAACAACTACTTTCTTCCCATAACCTCTTGTCAATTTTAAGACACGCCAAACTTTGATTTCTTTGGTCCTTTTATGTCTTTACAGTACAAAGTTTGCAAAAGTTGTGGGTAGTGCTCAAACAGGGATAGAAAGCAAGTTGAAGTACATAATTTTGAAAACTCACATAATCAACTCAACTATTCCTTCTAAACCCAAGGTTTGGCATCTTCAACAGTTTTGAATATTCAAAACATCATCAGAAACCTGAACTTCTTAGTTTTTCTAAAGGACCTTCCATGTTTTGCTGCTTATGAAATTGAAAAACCCCAAGTCATAGACTATAATATCTTAAACCTCTCTAACTCTAGGAATTCAAGGATTTGTCCGAAAAAGGTGTCAAT